CTACATATGGCTAGCCAGTTTTCCCAGCACCATTTATTAAATAGGGAATCCTTTCCCCATTTCTTGTTTTTGTCAGGTTTGTCAAAGATCAGATGTTGTAGATGTGAATCACGTGGTTTTCATAGTTGCATCATAGTCCATTACATGGAAATGTCACAGCTTGCTTATCTGTTCTTCTGTACTGATCACTTTCAGTTTTTCAATATTTATCAATAACTTTGAGCAGAAAACCTTCTAGATTTCCCTTGTATTTTATATTATTTTCTTAAGATGGATGTTCCAAGGTCTCTTACAAAGATAATGAATGTATTTTAGGCCAAGTCTTCTCCAAGTGCAGTGTGTGCACAGATTGCTGGTGGATGTTGTGAAATGCAGATTCTAACTCAGAAGATGTGGGCTGGATCTGAGGATCTGCATTTGTCACAAATGCCTGCATGATGCCCAGGCTGTGGCTCAGGGCTTTGGGCAGTCTCTTAAAGTTGCTGGTGTATTGGCATTGAGAATATTTATAATACTTGTTTTGCCAAGTCATTGTGTGGGCTGGTTACCTAGGAGCTCTGCCCCCTCAGAAGTATTTTCTAATCAAGAAGAAAGTTTGGATTAGACTGGTGTCCAGAGGGATGGGGAGCTATAGCACCTGCCTTCAGTGAAAGCCTCTAAGCTTAGTTGTGGCCACCATTAGAATCATCTGGGGAGTACACAGACACACACACACACACACACACACACACACACACACACACACTTTCTCTCTCTCTCTCTCTTTCTCTCTCTCTCTTTCTCTCTCTTTCTCTCAGCTCCCTCCAGACCACTACAAACAGAATGGCTGGCAATGGAACCTGGCTATCAGTATTTTTTAAAGCTTCCCAGGTATTAGAGGTGATTCTGTATAGCTCAACAGCTCAACTATGTTCATTGATTTGTTTGCTTCTTTGTTTCCCTAAGAGATGCCAGTTTGGCAACACCCAAGGCTGCCTCTCCTCTGATTCAGATCTTGGAGACTTTCATCCATAACCATACAAAGCCCCAGGGCAGTTTTTTTGTTTGTTTGTTTGTTTGTTTTGTGCTTCTCGCATTTAGTGTAATTAGGTAGATAAACTTGCTAAGCCACCTGATTTGAATAAAGTCCATTATTCCTCCTGAAAGGGCTCAGGATGGGGGTCAATACCAATGGGAGCCAACTCTCCAGCCTCCTGGAGAGTTGAGGACCTCCTGGTTGAGGACCATTGTTCTAAGCCCTTCCCACCTTAAATCTCACTGAGCTCCCAACTATGTTTTATACCTGCTTGGATGTAAAGCTTGGGGCTTATATATGCCACACTCAGACCTCCACGCTTTCAACAGTGGATTTAGCACAGCCATGAGTTTTCTTTGCAATTCTGAAAAAATAATAACCATTATTTTGGACAGAAAACAAGGTAGTTGTCATCACTGACTTCTCCATGAAACTCACTCTTTTGTAGCATTTGCTGGTCCCATCTTACTGAATGCCGCCATTGTACACTCAGTCTCCCAAGCCAAAAACCTGGGGCTGATCCTAGCCCCTTTACTTTCCCATACCCTTCAGATCTAAGCAGTTCTCACAGTCCTTTGCTCTGTATGTACTTGTTTCTTATAGAATGTATCGCATTATATTAAAATTATCTCTTAGTATGGTATGTCCTTCAACTAGATCATGAGCCTCTTGACTCCAGAGATAGTATCTGATGCATCTTTTTATTCCTCACATCTAGTGCAGTGCCTGTCTAGCACAAAGTGGAGACTCCTGAAATAACTGTTGAATGAATGGATGAAATAAAATAGGTTTTGATCACATGTAACCCTGGAAGATTATTCTTACGGTTGAAAGTTTCATAGCAGCCTGGTTCTAGCAGGAGCACAGATTGCCTAGATAGTGCCTGGTGCCAACATGGCCTTGGCCTTGAGGGTGTGCAAGGTGGCAGACGGAATGCCCAGCATGCCCTGACTCCCTGCCACTCACCACCTGCTAGAGTAACACCTGCTGTTTCTGTTTGGCAGTTGCCTTTTCAGGCCTTGGCTTCACGACGTTCTACTTGGCGGGAAAGCTGCACTGCTTCACCGAGAGTGGGCGGGGAAAGAGCTGGCGGCTCTGTGCTGCCATCCTGCCCTTGTACTGCGCCATGATGATTGCCCTGTCCCGCATGTGTGACTACAAGCATCACTGGCAAGGTGAGTCCCTGCCCAGGGCCTGACTAGACCTCACCGTGGTTGCCCCTCTCCTCCAGGGATGGGTGTAGAAATGCACCAGTTGTGGGGAGCTAAGTGCCCATTGTCCAAAACCAGAGGAGGCTGAAATGACAGAGTGGATATAATTTTGAAGCAAATATGCTGGTTCAAATGAGGTCTGGCCTTCCTGGGGAAATAATTGGAGGTCTTCTTCCTCCTTCATGCTCCAGGAGACTGCTTGAGTCCTGCCAGAATGTCAGGCCCTTTGGTTTAGAGTCACCCTTGGCCTGAGACCCAAATGTGATTTTCCTGCTGGATCACTTGCCTCAGTCCTCAGACTTAGTGCCAAGTGGTTTTTGGCTTCCTTTGCTTATCGAATCCAGCCTACAAGGACATATTTGTCACCGTGGATGCTCTTCTGAAAGGTATATCCAGCCAGGGATTCATTCCAGTAATGCTCCAAGCCACAGCTGCAAGCCTGGGGTGAGGTTTGCCTATATATATATACACACACATATGTCAGTCTTGGAATATTTGTTAAAAATCCAAATAACACAAAACAAGGGAGGGGCTTGTTCCTGAAATATAACTAAACCATGCCATGTCCTTCTGCAGAGAAACTGCAGCTCACAGTCTGTCTGAAAGAAAACCACCACCTGCCAGAGCACACAGAGAGCCGAGACGGAGGTGATGTCTGCAGGAGGTGTGGCCTCTGGGAAGCGTGGGGTCTAGGGCAGGGTTTCCCAAGGGGAATCCTTGGATCACCTTGATCAGGCTGCCCTGATCTAGAAATTGGACTCTCTAGAGGTGCATCTGGAGCAGTGGTCTAGAATCGTCATGGTTGTTAAGGTGCATCTGGAGCAGTGGTCTAGAATCGTCATGGTTGTTAAGCAAGCCTATCATTGCTGATGAAGTCTAAGAAGCACTGGGAAAGAGCCCCACCATATGTGTCAATTTTAACCAAACAAAGCAAAGAAAACGTGCCTGAATCCAGCTTCTTTGGGTGAATGGGCTTCCATGATAGGTCTGTGACCCAAACCTCCTCTCCCTTTCTTGTTTTCCGACTGTTGCTGGGCATTGTTCATCTCCCCCCTCTCTCTGTCTTTGCAGCCAGCTGCCTTGCAGGACTTTTCCTTTTCTTTTTTCCTACCTTTTCCAGGTTTTTTTTTTTGTAGTGGTAATGAGGCAATGGATGGGGACAGAGTTGAGGGGAACTCCTAGCTGAGAGCTCCTCCTTCCTCATCTACTCTGGAGACCTTGTGCTCTTTTCAGCACTGCCCGGCTTCTCCTGTTCCTTTCTAGTCTCATCCCTACCCCCATATCCTCCTGGAGCTCATGCTCTGGGTGTCCTGTGACCCCAGCCTAGCTTTGAGCTGAAGGGTGAAGGGTATAGGGAAAGAGATGCTGACATGGTTTGGACAGCACAGCAAGTATCAAGTGCTAGTAAGGTCTGAGGCCCTCCTGATGGGGGAGGTCAGAAGAGGGTCACAGGTCTGAGCCTGCCCTTGTTCTGTTTTTAATCAGTGACTCGGATGAAATGCTGGATGATAAGAAGCCACATCATGAGACGGAAGGATGGAGAGAGTCACTGGGCCAACAAAAACAAAGGCACAGCCCCCCCTTGGAACTGGGAATATTTTCCCACAGAATTGTTTTCCACATATGTGGTTAGGGCATTTCCCCATGAAGAATATTATGGGCCAAATGGCCTTTTATGGACTGCTTCTCATTGATCCCTTGTGAGCCAGTTTCTTCTTTGAGCGCAGGAACAATTAATCCCTAAATATTTCACAGAGCTTTTCGTAGATTGAAAGAAATAATGGGTCCAAATGTTCTTTGTAAATGGAAATTTACTACACACATGCAAAGTGGTATCATTGTTGCTTAGTACATTTTCGCTAAGGAAGGATGCGTTGTGTTTCCCAAACAACTGACTTGGAGGCAGACATTTTTTATTTTGGAACATGATTTATTTGTAAGCTACAAATGCCAGGTTTTCACTTTTATTCAATCACTTTGGATTCGGGAATGATTTGGGGGTTTCAGAATTGAATCAGTTTTTCCTTTATCTTGGAGTCAGTAAGAGCCTTTGCATAGTACTGACAACCTAAGATGTGAGGCTGGCCTGTCTTCAGCACTCTCTGACTCGACCCTGTTTTGTTCCTCATTTCCTAGCTGTGGTAGTGTAACGTGGCCAGAGTAAAGGAATGTGGAATCACAGCTCTTGTCTTTAGAGAGTGGTGAATTTATGCTGCAGCTGGTGTACCCAAGGCCTGTTGGCAACTGGGGCTTTGAAACCAACCATACTATCCAACAGGCACAGAAAGGAACTATGAGCAGTCAAGTGAGAATATTCATCCTCTGTGGGCTGTTGGGAAAGCAAAGCAAGAGAATTTATGTTCAGTGATGGTTAAAACCATATTTGGGAATCAAACCAAAACTGCATCATGGTAGACTTCTGCAGCCCAGACTGAACGTGCATCTGTTGGTACAGGTTATTGATATAGCCCAAGGACCAGTTCAGCTCTGTCATTATCTGTTCAACTTATACCCTTGGAGTCAGCCAGGAGAGGAACACAGCTTCGTTTGGATACTCTAAAGGGCTCTGAGTCAGGCTCATTTTACCTGAGTTCCCCCCTCATGAGGCTGTCTGCCACTGTCCACACCAGTTGTTTTCAACTGGGTGATGGAGAGGCTGACTGTACCTCTCAGGGGACATTTAGCAATGTCTGTAGACATCTTTTTAGTTGTCACAACTTTGAGAGGTAGGTGCTACTGCCATCCAGTGGGTGGAGGGTTAGAGACTAGGGATTCTGCTAAATGTCCTACAATCGCAAGGCCCCCTGCCCACCAACAAGGAGTTATCCAAACCCAAATGTCAACACTGCCCAGTTTGAGAACCCCTGTTCTACATTGTACCCCAGTTCCATAGTTCTTTTCCCTGTTACATGTTAAGAAGCAGCAATGTTCTGGGAGTGGAAAGTTTTGTTCATTCAACACTCAATTATTAAGGGAGAAATCAAGGAGCCCTCAACGGTTTCCCGTTGGGAGGAGGGAGGCAGAGTGAGGTCTTCAACTGCAGTGTAGGTGGATGTTTGAGGCAGGATGCCTGATTAAGATAAATAACTTGTTTTCCTTTGGTGAACTGAGCTGCCCAGTGACTGTGGGCGGGGGCCATCCATCATGGTGAGAATTCACATGGAGGCCCATTAGCATCAGCAAAACTCAAGTCCCCCTCATTATAGACTTTAGTTAACAGCATTCATGTTGTGAGATTTTATGACTCCATTTCAATTTTGATTTAAGCAACTGTGCCTAATGTAGAAATACATCCAATTACTCGATTACACATCATATCCAGTAAATAGCCCATAATCTCCAATGACTCTCTCTCTCTCCACTCTCATGGTTATTTTCTGTTATTGACACCCCCTGGTCTTTTCTGCCTCCCCAGCCCACTCCAAATATACAAATCTATTGTTTTATTAAGTGAGGAAAATACAGAGGCACAGGCCATGGCATAGGGAAGGACACATGAAACATTTAACAGAACTTCCCCAGACACAAAACCAGCTGGATCAATACTAAATCTCTATGTGGCTGATGTGCCCTGTGTCCTTGTGACATTCTGGCTTGCAGGTCAACTGGAAGCTGGAGAGTTTCACAGATGACGCTAACTACAAAGCCCGGTACCCTCTCAAACAGGCTCCCCTTTGTGATTGACAGTGTGTTTAATGGTGCTCAGACTTGTAGAATCCCCCTGCTAGAGAAAATAAATGCAGACAAAGAGCAGAGCGTGTCATTAAACTGACTTCTGCCTCTATTCACGCCCTTGTGTGATTACGATTCCTCGTAAATGGAGGGTTACAGCTACTAGTGGCAGGAATGTGGTGTTTGCTCTATCACTGGACTTAATAATGAGCTCCCCTGACCCCTCAAGTCCCTGCACCTGAAACCAGGCTCTCCCCATGTGACTTTAGGTTTGGAGATAACATTTTAAACACTTGTTTCTCTAATTATAGGTCATTTGAAGCAGCCCTAGGTCCCTGAGTGGTGTTTCATTATAAGAAAGAACACCCCCCTCTGGATGTAATCTAGGGAAACCGGTCTCAAAGAATGAAACAGTCATTTGTTCCCACCCAGACTAAGGTTGGAAAGTGTCTCGGTCAGATACAGACACAGTTGTCTAACTGGCTTGAAGTTTTCAAGATGGCCATTATTGCCTTCGCCTGCTTTCCCAGATTGGGCTATGAAGGGTCTGTGATTTGAAATGAACTAAATGTAGTTACCAAACTTCAGGAGATTACTGACCCTGCAAATGCAGGTGTTTTGGTGGTTGGATATTGTGCTGGACTGTTTCATGTGCACAAAATACTTCTGGCCTCAAGAAGCCCAGGCAGAAGCTATTCCCTTTGGAGAAACCCTTGCTTCAAAGTCTGATGACATTCTATAACTCACAGGACTCTCTCAAGTTCTCCTTCCTTTTGTTACTGATAAACTCAGTAGCCCCAAAGGATGGGATCGTTCCCTGTTCAGTGTGACAGAGACATTACATGAAATCAAAAGTAAGCATCAAGCAGAGTAAGTTTTATTCCATGGCCAAAGAATGGAGAAGTGGGGGCCGGGCGCGGTGGCTCACGCCTGGAACCCCAGCACTTTGGGAGGCTGAGGCGGGCGGATCACGAGGTCAGGAGATTGAGACCATCCTGGCTAATACGGTGAAACCCCGTCTCTACTAAAAAAAAATACAAAAAAAGTAGCCAGGCATGGTGGCAGGCACCTGTAGTCCCAGCTACTCGGGAGGCTGAGGCAGGAGAATGGCGTGAACCTGGGAGACGGAGCTTGCAGTGAGCCGAGATTGCGCCACTACACTCCAGCCTGGGCGACCGAGTGAGACTCCGTCAAAAAAAGAAAGAAAGGAAGGAAGGAGGGAAGGAAGGAAGGGAGGGAGGGAGGGAGGGAGGGGAACACAGCTCTCAGATGAACTTCTCAGTTAGTGAGGG